GCTATCCTAGAATCTCATAGGCTTGAATTAAGGCTCTTTAACACAGCTACCACTTCTCAGTTGAGAGAATGGCGGTGAATTACGGAAATGGTTTACTCAAAGCTGGGCTTTCGGGTGTAAATGTCGAGATCTTTCTTCGTTTGGAGATACTGTCCTAGGATATACACGCCTAATGTAACACGCGTTTTGCTAAGACTAGCCCTCGAAACAACGATGAGGGGTAGGCCGCTGAGAAGTACTAATATAACACATTTAAAACAACCAGCGAAGAAATGAGATACAGTAAATATGGTTTTTTACGCTGGCATAGTATAGAAAAATAGAGAGAAGAAACTCTTCAGGCGTCTTCAAAAACTTCGATACTACTATTGGTAAGGTTTTGAAATAGTTACTACTAATAATTCCGTGAAGATTAGTACTCTGTAGAAGGAGACTGGGTGAAATAGTGCTAGAGATACGGTTAAATAAAGTGCGGAACACAGTGATTAGGCTCTGCTCTGCTCCAGCCGAGCCTCCCTCTGAAATCGAGAAAGTGCCAAATGACTTCAGTCGACAACGTCAATGAACAACCGCCAGATATAAGACGGCACTGTCGAGTACGACTACTTCATTCAAGTGGTGCTCCATCTTAGAGAATTCGATTCAATGCGACTACAAACACCAACATTGCATGAACGGACGGCTGTGGACGATCGAGCCAGATCATCCCGGTTTGGCGAAGTGCTGAAATTTCAGCTAAAGAAAATTTTGTAACAACCTCGTGCAATCTCAGCATTATAAAAAATACATTGATACTCGACATGTCTGGGTACCTGGAATTCAGGTAGGCCAAAGAGTGCCTATAGCGAAGACCTAGGAATGCCTTAGAAATGTCAGCTATACTATGACTCTAGGAAAAGTCTAATACTTGAGCACCGGCTATTGAATGATCTTAGAATGGCCAAATCCTCAAGCATCCGAATGCACGAAGGAATTCGAATACGTTCATAGATGGTGACTTCAAGGAAATGAATCGAATAAAGCTGTGAGCTCCGCTTGATGTAAGACGTCAGGTGATACGGTAAAAGTAAAAACCGGCGAAGGATATTAATATTACATTATTAAGGCAACGAATAAATTTAAGAAAGAAAAACGATAGAAAGTTGAATGAATACATTTTCATGACATTTATGTTGGGAGTAGTTTTAACGCACCACTACCAAAATTGATACTTTCATGTGTGCTGGATATCATTACTAATAAATATAGCCTTCAAATTATCGTCAGATATTCTGATCTATGACGGAAGCGTGTGGTGAGTAGTCGGAGGAGCTCTGCAACACACACATAGTCACAAACACATGATCGATCTACGCGCCCATGACTCACCAAACCATCATTCCCTCCGAGGTTGGCAAATTGATACCAGACTTGTCTGGGAGGATAGCAGCACTGGCTCGGTACATAGGCAGGCCATCGCGAATCATTTTAAAGGCCAGATATGCAATCAATCGCCTGCAACGATGGCTAATGAAGTCCCATCCATGGCGCATCCCACAAGGATTGATCAACGTCGAAAGCTTTATCCTCTATTCTGATCTATCAAGAAGCTCCTCTGTAACTATAAAAATCCTTTCTTTAACGAGAAAACGTACTTTTAAGTGATAACCATTTTGAAACCCTATGTGATCATCCTCCGAAGCTATAGTTCTGGAACTGTAATCTGCTACCACTTTTTAAAAAATGTTCGAATGTGTTAGCTAAAATCATTTTAACTACGGAGCCGCCACTACGTTGCAAATTAATGTCTGACCTGCATTAATTTCTTTTCTTCTTCCTCCCTTTTTCCTCTTCGAGAAAGGCGAAAACGTCGAATCTTAGCCGAATAAATGCTTTTGTGTTACCTTATCACCTTGTGTTACCTTATCACTGAAAGGATACATATTGGCCAGTCACGCCGAGGTTAGAGGAAAGTTGCGTATTGAGTGACCGTTGTTCACGACAATGCGCGACTATACGTCGTGCTTCTTATGCGGTAAAGGTTTAGCGAGCTGGGTTACGAAGCCCTACCAGTACTCACCAAACCTCTTACCTGTTGGCTGCCATTTCTTGAAGAATCTTGACAATTTTCTTCGTGAAAAACGCTCCAGAAAGTGAGCCAAGACCGAAAGTGGCTTCAACGACTGTAGCGTCTCCAGGAAACCAGAACTTTATGCAATCTGTATAAATAAGCTTATTTCTCTCCAGAAGAAATGACAGATTTTGACAATTTCGGTTTCGATTAACGAAGTTTGTTTCGAACTGGGATATTCCACTTTGAAGATACAAATAGAAATCGGATATTAATTTCCCAAGAACCGAATAAATGTGATTCCCTGACTCGTCCATTTGCAAGTGAAACTTTTCGACGTAAGGCCAATGTGTTCGTTAAAAAAACCAAATTTCATGTCGCTTCTGTCTTGTCTGTTTCATTCCAGTAGTGAATTTGCGAAGCCGCTTTGTATGACTTGTGGTGATTGACATCTAGTTGAGTTTCTGGAACGTAGTGCAGTGATCTGGCTCGGGGTCTAAGTTTTTGCGAATACTTCAGCATCGTTGTGACTACGTCTACCTATATTCACAGAATTCTGAAAGCTGTGAAGCCAACGATTTTTTAGAGGGCGTTTTCAGCAATGGCAATCCTATTGAAGAGTTCATGTGGTATTAAATATTATGATTACTGTTCGTATTTTTTGAGCAAACGCGAGGTGTTATTGTTCTTTGTTCACGATTAAGCTGACGTTTCGGCGAATTTCGCCTTCTTCAGAGCCTGGAAAGGTCAAGTTGATAGCAACTCACTCGGCCAGACGCCTCCATAACCAAACAAAGAAACCCCAAACCAAGATTTCAATCACTTTGAACACAGCTTTGCACACTCACCGCTTTCTATGAGGTCTCCACTAAGTATGTCACGTAGAGACCAACCGCACAGAAATCACGTGGAAGTATAATGTGCCCCTCACATCAGAAAAGCAGTTTTATATACTGCCCTATATCACGCGTGATAATGAGGCATTCTTCCCTGCGGTTCATTTTCGGATTTCTGGAATTAACCCAGAGTGCCTCGAGGGTTTTTCGCGCCTGTGTTCTCGATTCGCGTGCGAGGATCGTGACACATACTTCGAAGTTGTCCCCGTTATGTCTCTGGGTCCTATGCGTGCCTAGCGGGGTATTTGGTCTATTTTTGCCGGCTGGGTGTTCTTTCATGCGGACACAGAGGGGTCTACCCGTTTCGCCAATGTATTCGTCACCACACGTCTTACAGGAGATCAGATAAACTANTACTGCCCTATATCACGCGTGATAATGAGGCATTCTTCCCTGCGGTTCATTTTCGGATTTCTGGAATTAACCCAGAGTGCCTCGAGGGTTTTTCGCGCCTGTGTTCTCGATTCGCGTGCGAGGATCGTGACACATACTTCGAAGTTGTCCCCGTTATGTCTCTGGGTCCTATGCGTGCCTAGCGGGGTATTTGGTCTATTTTTGCCGGCTGGGTGTTCTTTCATGCGGACACAGAGGGGTCTACCCGTTTCGCCAATGTATTCGTCACCACACGTCTTACAGGAGATCAGATAAACTATACCCGAGCTCATGCAATCACCGTCTCTACCACTGGGGCAAATTATGCAATTTTGAGTTGCACATAGACGGTCATATAGGCGGTTACGAACTAGCTGGCGCTTAAGATTACTCGGTGGTATTTCAACTACGCTCACCGAATTCTCTAAGCCCGCCCTTCTTAAGCAGCGTTTTATAGCTGTACTTATATCATTTGAGATGAAGGGTAGGATAAACGGGACCCTTCTATCGCTAGAGTTGTCGTTTGGAGGCCTACAATTTCCTCTACACCTATCCTGAGCTACAGTTTCGTAGCCATTAGAAACGGCTATTTGCCGTGCCAAGTTCCGGGACTCCTCTCTCTGCTCTCTTCCCGTGCACACGTTGGTTGCTGTTCGAAAAAACTGATGATTACTGAAACTGATTATGATTACTGAAAAAACTAGTAGTCATTTAGCCAGAAGCTTGATGAGAAACAATGCTATGAGCAAGATTACCTCGCCTTGTTCTTTAGCCTCTAAAACGTTAGAGAGACCAAACGTGGTGTTGTATTGTTGAGGAGATTGTTGACCATTTGCTTTTAGCCAATCCATTTAGCTACTATTAGAACCCAACCTAACAATCCTCTAGAGCTCTTAAAAACCGACTCTCATAAGACATCGGCACCGATAATTAATAAATGTTTATATGATTGGGTGGACACGAGGTTAGTATACGGGTTTTCTTTGGCTAACGCTTCTCCGCCTTCCTCAGTGCCGCGCTGATGACAAACAGTGGTCCGCAGCTGGTCATTGTCGCGATGTGGATGTTCCTTGTCGCGTCGGGTTGAATACAACCAAATTTTCTAGACTTCTATTCTCTCGGTAAACATCCACGAGTTTATTACAATACCCTCTTCTCCGAAGAAGACGAAATCCGCCAAAATATCAACTTTTGTGAACAAAGAGTGTGGCAAGAACGTCATGTGTGCTTATCAAGAAAATAGCGAAGCATGGGCTAATGCCGAGGTTAATAGGGGATCGGTTTTGGGAATTTCCAAAGTGTTCTTAGGATATGTGGGAAATCGGATCCAGAAGTCCAAAGTCGTATAATGAGAATCTCAAGGGGAGAAGGGACAAGGCAAGGGTTGATCTTAATACCACGTTCACATGAATTTTCGTAGTTCACCTTCAGATAAGGAAAAGGCCTTGTTCTACGGAATTTTCTTAACTGACCGCTAAAAGGTAACTTCAGAAAATTCTGTTATTTGCTGGAATTTTAGGTGTGAAGGCTTTTTAAAAAGTTTCCTGAGGGTTGAAGCAAGTGTTTCCAATATTCTGAGATGACGAAATCAATACTTTATACAGTAGAATTCTTTACTGTCCAGTGCTTAGTACAACAGTCTAATAATCAGTCTATACGTCTATACAATGATTCGCTGTTAATCAGTCCGTCCATTCGCTGTCAGTGGAATCGGCTTCTAAAGAAAAGCAGAGTGATAAACTTATCAAGCAAAAAGATGAAAACGGAAAACAGAAGATGAAGCAAGAATCTTACCGCAGTCGCTATCGGTCACAATGTATTCTCGTCTCTTATCCAACTCAGCTTGTATGGCTGAAAGAAGTCCGCCGTCACCAGTTGGGCTCTAAAAGGTCTTGCAACTGCCAGCTACCAATCAAATTTACAGAAAAAACACAGAATTAAATCAAGTTTTTATATAACTGGAGAGAAAATTTAACAAGAAACCTACATCGTTATTCAGAATGCTTTTCGAAGTGTGGTCAACGTGTCGAAGCTTGCCTTTGTCGACGTTTTGGATCTCCTGAATGTCATCCGTTTTTTTTACACAATACGATGAAAGTTGAATGACAAAGCGTCCAGCAATGATCAAGACATTATGTATGCGCCATGCCTTGGAATCTATTCGTAGTATCGCACAGATGGTACAACGCATATTTATCCCACACAATGACTTGCAACAAAAGTCTGCTGTGTTAAATCAGTATTTCCATTATCCACGGCGAGTTCGGTACCAGTTACTCAACACCGTAGGGATGGAAGGAATACAATGGTCCGCGCGAAGCCAAGCAACAAAACAATGACGAAGTTTATATTGCACAGTACCTTTAAGCACTGTGCTATACGAGCACTTCTAAAAACGTCGAACTCCTTATTTTGTGTATGAACCTAGACCAACGTCTAAGTAACTTTCGAAACTTCTCCGCCAAGTGCGGAAATCGCTAGACAGTAACGGAAAGACTCAATTAAAAAAGCTAAAATGTGTAAAAACAAGTGGTAGAAAAGGTTAAGGTAAATCAAAATTGGATGGGGGTAATGCAGTGGAGGAACAAAGCGCTGGTTCAACCGCTACCCAGCGATCTCCCGCAAGCTGCGTAGGAACGGTCCAGCTAGCTCGACTATTTACAAAACTCCAAGGTTGCAAGGAGAATCGACTACCCTAACATTCGACGGCATTCATAAAGAAGACGAAATCATCAAGTAGCAGCCGAAATAACGCACCAAATATTCGAAGAAATTTGTGGACGGGAAGGAAATGAATCGAATGCAAAAAAGTGCTGGGATACTCAGAGTACATGGGATAACGGGTCATAAAAAACATAATGAAAATATAATAAACGAAAATGAATGAGAAATACGATTGATAAGAAGGCGAAGAATAAAGTGTCGCCTTAGAAACTGCACTTGGATGGCGATTATTGTTGCACTAGTGAACTAAGTAAGAGTTGAACGGTAGCTAAAAGCACTATAAAAGAAGGACAGGAACCGACAACTCGTCCACAAAAAGACCGGATTTTAAATTATAAGAGTCTATGATGATCAATGCTAAGGCAATGTTCAGAAATACTGCTTGGTACCTTACTTTGAAAACAATATTTTCTGTTTCTGAACGAGCCAATCGCCAAAGGTTTAAATGATGCTTCATCCAGCGCATTTTACGCAGCGGCATTCCTTCAATTTCATTTTTCTTCTCAAGTTTCTCATTTTACTCTGAGTGGCCGCAATCAGTATTTAAAAAAAGACCAATTTTTCTTCAAAAAATGGCAAACCTCCAGTAAGCTTTTTCGCCCATTAGTGTTGAATGGAGGGATGTCGAACACAGGCTGTTTTAGTTCACTACACGGTGGTGGTGTTGGAGCCGGTGAAAGCAGGCTTGGCGGTGGAGGTGGTGGTGGTAGTGCCGAGGTGGATATTTCACTCGGAACGGACGTAGTGACGGAATGATTGTTTTGAGGAAAAGTGAGAGAAGGTTCATTCGTCGACTGTACTGGCGACGGTTGGCTAGATGGTGGCGTTGGAGGTGGTGAGTGTTGCGGAACTTGGGCACCGTTTGGAAGAGGAACCTCAATACGCCAGATTGGCTTCGTAGCACCTGAAAATTTCGCAACATAATAGGTGATTCTGAAAGGAACCGAAGACAGTTATTGATAAGATGGCAATCAACAGTAAACTGAGACGTTGGCAAAGTTACTAAGCGGCACGGACTTGTTCAAGCCAGTTTTCTTTCTAGGTCTAATGAACTGTATACATACATATTTCGAAATACACTATACATAGTGTATACATACACTTACTCCCTGATTGCTTTCGATCTGGTATACGTGGAGGGAGGCTATCTCGTGGTAGTGATTTTCCATATCCTAAAAATATGCACAACGAAAACAACCATGCAAAACAGTGCAGTAGATTAACAAAAAATAAAGCTACGCGATGAATTCATGAGGAGCATGTGTTTATGCGCAATAAAGCCGTGACAGAGGAATTTATCGCATGAATGGAAGGAAACCTTTTTAGGGAGCACGTAGTGTAGTTGTAGTAATGCTTGTTCATCACCTACACCGTGCTGATCCGACGCCATCCCTGCTTTACCAAGCCTCTCTTCCGTACAAGGTGGAGAAATTGTTACCATATTTGTCGGTGACAATTCACATTCTGCATTCCAAGTGGGAACGCACTAGCCCTGCTATGCTAGTTTTTCACTAGGAATCAAATAGATCAGCACTCCACAACATTCATGACGAAGATGAAATCCTCAAGAAGCAGCCGAAAGAACGCGTGAAATGCTCGATGAACTTTGCGAACGATAAATGCGAGGAAGCGAATCGAATGGGGAGAATGCTGGGATCCGCAGAGTGCATGTGAAGACAGGCGGTGTAGAATAAATTTTAAAAAATAGTTGTTTCACTAAACGTCAACAGCTTAACAAGGAATTTTTGTAGATTTTGGAACCCTAGTAGCCATTGCGTTTCTACGGAAAGATGATTGGTCAGACAAAAATGTATGGTAGTTAGTAAAAGCAAAGAAAAAACATGTGCAATATAAAGTATTGCTTTACCAAGCGAGTTCATTGGTGATTTCCATCGTTCCGATGGAGATTGTAATTGTTTCGACTCTACTCGAGATGGTACCGATGGAGCAACTTCCTCAGTCGTCGTTCCCCAAAATTTCGTTCCGAGATGAGCAACCGGAAAAAGCACTTATTAGGGTTGTTCCGAAGCTCCATGAACATTCATAGTTTTCTAGTTGGAGATTTTATCTATGGCGTGTATGGAGCAGTGACTAGATGGATCTCTGCCATTCACATTATTGTTTGATCCCAAGCATTGGATTTTAGAGTAGACTTATTTGGGAGATATAAAGAACACTTTGACGTGACGCTAGTTCTTGCAATGAAATCGCATAGGCGAAATTTGCATCCAATCACCTCTACGATGCTACGGACGCAATGCAATATGCAGCGCACCTCTATAAGAGTGCTCACCATCGAATGCTTTGTTCTTTCAAGATTAACTCATTTCAAAATCCGGTGCGGAACGAGAAAACATTATTTATATTTTAAGGATCTATGGATGATTATACTAACAAACAAAGGGGCGCGTGTCGCGAAGTGATCGGAGGAGCCCTGCAGCGTCCACATGGGCTCGATCCCGGCGTCCGTGGCCCACCAAGCATTCAGTCTCTCAGGAGTCGGCAAATTGGTACCAGACTTGTCTGGGAGGAAAGCACCACTGGCTCGATATATCGGTAGGCCACCATGAGTCATTGTAAAGGTTAGATAAGCATTGAATCACCTCTGAACGATGCTTAATGAAGTGGAATGCATGGCGCATCCATAATGGACTGATCAACGTCGAGAGTTTTATCCTTTTATTATTATGCTAGCAATGGACCGATTTGTAAAGGTTTTCGTTATGGTGTCGCTCTGGGAGAGGTCAACTCTACAGTGATGGCCACTTTATATGGCCTCTAGTAGACACTTGAGTTACTTTAGGAATTAGGTTATTCGTTTTAAACTATTCCTTCTAAATCATAGTCTTTACCAAGAAATGTCTCATGATAAAATTCTCGACACTCCTAAACTTATTGTAGATATTAAAATTTTATCTATACTTTAGCAATTATCAAACAAAGTGATTTCTCAACGAACGAAAAGTCATGATAGCATACGTTTTTGCCCTCGTAATATCATGTTAGCAGTGTTGCGTCTATTAGTGAAACTAAAATTCTATATAAAATCGATGCATAGGAAATGTGAAAGAAACCGAAAAAAGGCTACTGCAGTCAAAAATCCCTAAAAAGTCTCGAAAATGAGTCGCAATGTACTTGGATATTTGGACGGCCAGCCCTCACTGGTTGTGCGGGCCGCAGCATAATCTCCATTTCTTCGGAGTTTTGCTGGTTTAACCATTGTGGTTCCCTGGAGTCTCGAGGTCAGCCAGGCCAAAGGCTGCTCCAGGTCGTCACCGCCATTGTGGATCAGAGAGAGATTTCCCAGAGCGTGCGACTAGTTTGATACCAGGGCGGTGGCGGATCCTGTTATCGGTTTACACTCAGCTGGGCTTCCTGATGGAATCGCCGGACTCCTTCTCAGGTTGGGAGATCCTGCTGAGGATGAACCACCTCGCTGTACATCGCAGCGCGACACCCAGGAACATATCCCAGTCAAGATGAGGCGGTAAAATGTCGGGAGATGAATCGCAATGTATGGTAACTAAATAGGTGGACGAGTTCTTATGGCGCACTTTCAAAAACGATCGTCATGTTTTACAGTACACACCTGAGTGCGATTTCATACACAATGTTAGAGGAGCTTAGAAGTGCTCATTCTTCCAGAGTAACACCTCTTGAAAAACAAAACTACACTGCAGTTGACAACTTTAGTGATTTAGCGTTTTCGCTTAGAAATTTTGTGTGTATATTAAACCTACCATAGTTAGTAATACTTTTGTGGTCGTTAAAGGTTTCAAGGTTGGTTTCAAAAACAATATGGAAGATTCTATTTAATAGAACAAGAAGCGACAAGTCCTTAACTTTAAGTAATCTACTTTCTTTCATTTAAGCTAACACAAGGTTATTACAAAAATACATTCAGCTAACGTTTTGACATTATCGTCTTCTTCAGAACGATGCAAACGTGTTAGGCCTTTTCTAACCACTTCAGATTTCAAATGAAATAAGTATCGAAAAATTCCGAAACGAATCGAACAATAGAGAATGATGTTCTCGGTGGTAATCAGCCCCTAGGGATGCCACATGCGTTCGACTCCATTTGTAGCGCCTTAGAAGTAATTGAATGTGTATTCGCCTTATATGATCACTCGTCGGAACCTACCGATTCATGGTGAAATAAATGTTTCTATACTCCCAAGGACAATTCTGGTACGAATTTGTCGACCACTAGAAGATTGAGTGCTTGGATAGGCTGGTATGCGGGGGCCAACTGTGCATTGCAAGAACCTCTAAACACTGCACCACAAAAGCGCTATCGCGCGAATATAAGAGGAATACAAAAAAGGTGATCTGAAGCCAGAAATAAACCACAAGTTCCTATCTTGAAAATTACCGAAGATTCAGATTCGTTGTATTCAGTGATCACATGCAACTTCTTTTGCGACTCGAATAATGGTGTCTTTTCCCAGTCCGGATCCAAATAGCGGTCGATGGGAATCTCCTAAACAATTCTATTCAGAATTCTTTAATGTTATCTTAAAACTGCTGAGACTTGCAAAACCGTCATAAAAATTTCATAACGACATCTTTAAAGGGGAAAAAGAGTCAGTAAAGTCAGTAACTGATAGCTGGGAAGGCACTGATGATAAGAGTTGAATAAAAAGATATAACAAAAATGAATAGATAAATGAGATACCCGCCATCATTGTAAAGGAAATTGTTAAAAGTTCATTACACTTTCATCTGACTTATTCGGAAATTTTAATGATGCTGCTTTATTTGCAAAACTCCGGACTGCAAGTGTCTGCGGTAGGGAACGAATGCGCTGGTGTCCCTTCCTGGGAGTAACGCGTTCACCACCACAGCATACGGGTCCTTCGTTTCACGTGTAACAATCTGGCAACCATAGAAGGCTTCATGTGTGCAAGACAAGAGATCGAAACGACGACAATATGGATGTTTAACGGCATCCCTAATCAGTGCGCCAATCACACCCTTTTATTCGGTGTTAGGTCATGTAACATGCAGCGGTATGACTTGACATTAACCAACTAAGAGGCAAATGTGGAAAATATCAAGACCGACTTTCTACGAAAATCGGAATCGATGTTTTCTTGACGACCATACATGAGGTTGCTTAATAACAGCATTTATTCACCCCCGGTAGCTAAAGTTTCGGCGGTTTCACCTTTTTCAGAACCTAGAAAGCTCAAAATGACAAGCAATCTACTTAGCCAAACACTTTCAACCTCCGCAGATAAAACTTAATAAGTAGATTTCACTCGCACAGTAAACAGCTTTTTTTAAACACTCACCGTTCTATTGCTTGCAAGTCTTCCATTTACTTTTGGAGACCAGCTGCACAGAATCCTACATGGGTCATGAATGTGCTTGTTGGGTCTCAAAAATTCAGCCCGATGTATGGTGCTAAATCACGTGTGATCACAAGGCACTCATCCTTGTGATACGGCCTTGGATTTCTGGAATTGATACAAGACGCACCGGAGTTTCACATAAAGATGTTTTAGATTCCGGTGCGAGGGTGTGTGAGTACTGACCTATCCTTTCAAATTTTCTCTGTTATTCCTTCATGCCCTCTGCTCAACCTTTGCGGCTGGACTCAAACAAGAACTGAAGGACTTATAAAGAACAAAACTGTGATCGTTTAAAAGAAGCTGTTTTCTGCGCGAATAAAATTTACGTATCGAGTTTCTTCTGTTGAGGTTATAATTTGGCTAAATAGACTTCATGTCAATTTGACCTTCCCAGGCTCCGAAAAAATCGAAACCGCCGAAACGTCAGCTTTCGTGAATAAATAGTGTAATAAACAATCTCGTCTCTGCTCATTACGAAAACAGATAGGGTCGATAATTCATTGATCCAATGTTAGGTTCTTCGAGAATCTTCCTCAAAACAAGACGGCACTAGCGCTTTTTTAGAAACTATTGGCAGAATAATGTTTACCTTCTACTTCCTGCCTCTACAATTTTCATGGCATGGTAGTATGCGAAATACAACCACAACGATGCTGAGATATTTGCAAAACTCCGGACGACAGTTGTCCCCTGTGAGGATCGAACACAGCCTATCCGGGGGCTAATGCGTTCACCACCACATCAGGCGGGTCCTTCGTTTCGCCTCTCTCTCAGATAGTTCTTTCGATCAGTGTCATCAGCAATCACCCGTTCAGTGGGATCGTTCTGGAAAGCTCAGAGGTCCATAGTTTATTGGCAGAATACTTTCTATAAGCATATGAATTAGGGTCCATATCCACCGAAAACATGCTTGAAGCCCAAATATGCTTTATGGCCCATAAACACCTCTCCTTTCTTAGAATAAGCGTCCATATTGATCGAGTTGCGATAAGGATCAATATGCAAGTTCATCATTGCCAACTCATCCATGCCTACAGAACCTGTTTAGAAAAAAAGTTGGCAGAAAAATCTTACTTGACCAGTGTTTACCTTAGTCGTCGATCCTTTCTTGACTTCACGAGGTGTGCGTCGTTGTTGTTTGTGCAACACCATCCTGTAATATGAATGATTAGGGTGAATCACTTTAAATGGCATAAAGAGCAACTGCTTATAGAGGCAAAATGAACGGAAAATGGAGTGTGATGGATAACTCCTCGGAGCACCAAGGAAGTCGTTTTTATCATTATATGTTTACAACTACAAGTTATTAAATGTGCACAAGAATGACAATCCGTCCATTACGTAGATGACATTGCTGTGTGATATATGAAATGAATGGAGCTAAAGCAGGCTAAGACGATAAACATGATTTTATGTGTTTTTCTCAAACAGTAAAGGATAAAAGGATAAAGCCTCCGGCGTTGATTAAACCTTAAGGAATGTGTCATGCATTCGCCTTCATAAAGGAACGTTAGAGGTAACTGAATGCATGTCTGGCCTAAGCAATTATTCGCGGTGGCCTGCCGATTTACCAACTCAGTGCTGATGCCCTCACAGGCAAGTCGGTCGACAATTTGCTGACCCCAGATAGATAGTTTGGTTGGCTTGAAACGCAGGACTGAAATAATGTGTATTGCAGGGCTCCACTAACCACTGCGCTATACGCTTTACAAGGTAGTACAGAGACCTTTTATGTGAAGAATTGTTTTCGATGTATATTACAGTGAATGCAGGAGGGTACATTAGATAAAAATCACGTACATGAAGTTGTGCCTTCAGCAGCTTAAGGTGATTTGTTATACTTCTTTAACAAAAGGGCAGCTTGAATGACTCAGTAGGGAGGAAGTAGGAAGTGAAAATTTAGAATATAATAGAGATTATATCCTTCACCATGAGTTCTCCTTATTTAAGAACGTCTTCCAACACTTCATCTTTCGAAATTCATTACCACTTTTCATCTTCACTATTCATTTCACTTTTCACTTCCACTATTATTCACTTCCAAACTTTCCTAGAACGTGTCACATCTCAGTAATACAAAAGTTCCATTTAATAGCTGTTGAAGTACACTTCCAAACTGAGAATGTATTCTAACGAAATCGTTTGTTTTAGAATAGATTAACACCCAAGCTGGAATACTTGTTAAAAAAGGATAAAAAGGATAATGCTCTTGGCGTTGATCAATCCCTGAGGGATGCAGCATGCATTGGACTTCATTAAGCATTGTTTGGAGGCGATTGAATGCATATCTAGCCTTTACAATTACTCGCGGTATCCTACCGATGTATCGAGCCAGTGCTGTTATTCTCCCAAAGAAATTTGGTACCAATTTGCACACCCGGAAGGATGGAAGGCTTGGTGGGCCATGGGCGCGGGGATCGACTCCACGTGTGTTCCAGGACGCATACGACCACTGCTCCGCCACACACGTCCCTTGGAATACTTGTTAGTGGAATGAAAATTTTTTGTGTTGACTTTAGTTGGATGAATTGAAGGTGACCGGTTGCTCAATTTCAATGCATCAGCAATTCAGTAAAAAGTGAATCGCCTTGTTAATTTAGATATTGTGAAAATGAGGTGCTAAATGACAGAATATCTGTGGCGAAAGCGAACATTGTAAGAAAACTTCGGTCTTAAACAACACCGGTTCATAACTGCAGTAGGACTTCATTAACTTTGGCAACAATCCTTAAACGTGATATTTACCCTTTGGATAAGCCGCAGGGAATTAAGTAAATCCTAGCATAACTTCTATTTAACCAATATTTTAGAGTATGAATAAGACATTTCCCATAAGAGCTCCAAGATCTGTTTAAGAACAGCCGCCAAAACAAGTAACGACCAGCAGGAGCTTGTGAATAAAGAATCTTGTCAGCTTGGTGGTTAGGGCTTTTTCTAACGAAATGTTAGTCCGCAACATCGATTTACTGCTAACTGCGATTCCCGATAAAAATATCCAATTCGTTTCCATCCCTACAGGTGACGAACACGTCGCAGTGTGATGCTCTGGAAAAAAAATCGGCAAGCAGTTGTTGCTGGGGTCAGTACCAGTCGTAAAGACGAACTGTCCAGGCATCCAGGTAAGTAGACAAGATCTTACAATAACGTTCGAGCTGTTTGGCCGGCCCATAGCATATCAGACAGGGCTCCTATTAGTTAAGCACAAGAAAGCCACCTTTCCCTCAGATGAGATTCAACAGCTACAAAAAACTGGTAAACGGGTTCATCTATGAAACTGAAATTTGAAGACATGCTACGCAGACAGGACATGGTTACTGAGAATGGGTTATTGGTACTTACATGCTGTCCCTTGATTCGGCCAGCGTCTTGTGTGGACCGCGTCCGAACGACTCGCTTGGATGAACTGAATTTCTCTGAAACGTTTGCAATTGAGTATGCCAACCACTTGACGACGTCCTTCTATGGCAGTATTACTCACATAATAGTGAAAATAGAACTATATTATTATATTATTACTACGATAAATCCGTTCATAAAGGTTGACTTTGATCACGCTAATCTACTAGCACTCAACTCAGTTCATTGCAAGCATTCTTATCGACCAAAATATCCTAATTTGACAGGAATCAATATGAACATGTTGTCCAGGCTAAAAATAACTTCGAATGTGAGGGTAGGCAGAGTTTTGGGTTGGTAAATCATTGTTAAAATAACGCAACTGGAGTTGTCATTTCTCTCAACCAATCGATACTTCCGCCTCATATGTGGATTTTTGCACCTTGTTCATAATAACTTTAAGATATACAAAAGACTAGCTCTAAACTAAAACATTTTAGGGTAGCAAACCTATCACATAAGATTATGGTCATGATAACTTAGATTTGAATAATCGTGAAACACAATAGAGATTTTCACGGTTATGAATAGTCTAGAAAACGAAAAAATCTATAACCGTCTTCGAAGGTGAAATTATTACATAACTGGAAAACCGAACCGCCTCGGTGAGTTCAAAAAATCTGGGTCATCAGAAACGAACTGCACCATATCAATGACGATCGGATGCCCTATAATCATGCGGCATTTCTGGAACAAACCTAAGTCGCCTGTGATTGGTACTGGAGGTTTTGTAAGCACGTTAGGAAAGGAATAAAAGCAAATTCCTAGAAAGTATTGATTGCTCTCTTTTGAAGAAATTAAATAAGATAAATAGAGGGCAATATTCACAGTGTATCGATTAGAGGAAGAAACAATAAGTTTAGTATTATGTAAATCAACTTTCACAAGAAGAAAAATGAATGTAGACTGATATTTAGTGATGTTTTTAACCCTCTTACGTGGCTCTTATCGTCTCCAGAAGTTCAGATTCTTTGTCCAGCTGTTCACCCTTGATCTCAGAACCTACATTTAAACATTTAGAGAAAATGACAGTGATGGTGTTCATTACGAACGAGGCCTTCGTTCAACCATTCCCGAGCTAGCCAAGTCCCCTCAACGCTTCGCGTTTCAGAAATTAATACAAAAATAATTCAGAATCACCTCACTCCCCCCAACCCACGTAGAAACGCCTTATCCCTCACTTGTGGATTACTCGTAAGCGGTTAAATTTTTCCTAAAACCGCTATCCCAAGATCCAGAAAGAATCGACTCCACAACTAGTCAAACGACATTAATAGGAAAAAGAAAAATCCTCAAACGGCAGCAAAAGTGATTGCAGAAAACTAGAAGATCAATGTGGGCATGGATGCGGGAACGCGAAATTAGTGCAAGAAGTGTCAGTATCTGTACAATGAGATATCGGGTCATAAAAAAGTTTAAATATTTACAAATCATCTACAAGTAAGGGATCCCTCTTATATTTATGCAATCAACCAGCCAGTTTCGATTCGCTATGAGAGTAAGTCTGCCACTGAAGTAGACCGGAATGGCTTTCAACACTTCGGTGAATGTCAAGAGGATAATACGATTTGAGAAGACTGTGAAGGCGGTGCAGCCGGCGCCGGCCGACCACTTCAGGTTCTCTTTTGCGCGCTAGCATGAAAATTGCTAGAGATCATAGCAAATTGTTTTTATCTTTCAAATAAAAAAGAAAGCCAGCGAAAGCCGTATGTCTGCATTCCATCGTCGACTGGAAGATGAACAACGAAAAGAGTTGTTAAATGGACCGAGTAGTTCAGTCTATTCTAAGCGACAACATTCACGAGTAAATGTAGTACGTATAATGAGGCGTGAAGACGACAAGAGTTAGATATAGGCATAAAACAGTTGAAATTTTAGTAATACTTATGTCTTATCTCTTAATAATACATTGTTAAAAAAGCAAGGGCGTAGAGCAGTGGCTAGATGTTTCTTGCAAAACAGACGTGGTAGCTGGTTTGATCTCCCGCCCTGGACTTACCGTGTTTCGCATTACACGATGGTCTCCAAATTGCTATCAGATTTGTGAGGAAGAATAAAATATTGAGTAGATACATCAGTGGACCCGAATAGGTGGATAAATAAACATTCAATTACCTCTACGATGAAGTTGAATGCGTGGCGCATCTCTAAGGAATTGATCGACGCAGAGCACTTATTTTTTACACATCTTAATTAGCAAAAAATTTGCTTTTTTATGATTATAAACACATTATGTTACGTTTATAACACATCCGCGCAAACATCTAACTTTCAATGGTTTTCGACAGCACTGGACTACACCAAACTACTGGCATTATGATCTATGCCTCGAATTTAATTCACACGGCCGACGATGCCGGTTTACTCTCTTCAAAACAAAGAAACTTTTACTTATGAGCAATCACTTTGTTTATATTGTCTAACATGCTGAATAAGCTAGGCATTGTCCGGAAACTCGGAGAGAAGAACAAACTCGTCCCAGCAGCTGTTTTTCGTCGTAGATCTCAGTAGGCGGAAAATAGGTTGTCTACGAGCAGAGCAGAACGTGCGCAACAAGCAATTTTCGTAGATAAGCTATTGACATAGTACAAATGATACAGCAGAAAGCCTGCGCAGGGCGGAGAGAAAACGTATAAATTCTAGCAAAAGGAATACATTGAACTTACTGTGGACCGTCGCGATTACTACGACTTCAAAACCTTCTCACCTTTAACCTCATCGAGCTTCGTATTTCGCTGCCTCTTGTTGCGATAATCTCTCGAATCAATTGCATCTGAGCTTCGTTGCCGGGTTGAATCTGTCAACGAAAAAATTCTCTAGTAGACAATATCACGAAAAAGCCACAAACAATGAGTATACCGTTGCTGTAAAGATTTTCAAAGCAGTAGAAATGTGGGAAGAAAATGAAAAGATGCAATGAAATTCGAGGAATAGTTCCCAGCTGTACGGATACCGCATTTTTCATTAAAACTGTATAACACTGTTATACAAAAATTTGCTTTAAACGTTACTGTGTATTTGAAGTATAAATGCAAGTGAATTGTAATGATAAGAGATTCTGCGCAATACATCTACACTCTAGTTCGATTTCATCCAGAGTAAGCTAGCCCTACACTCCTCTGGATGTTCGCAAATTAGCGCCGAACTGGCTTTAGAGCTTTTTCTGATCCACAAAGCCTGGCGACTGTCCATGATGAAGACCTGGGGACGCCCTAGTACAGATACCCTATGATTCCAGGAAAAAAGTATTTGACCAGTATTCAACGGATTTGAAGAAGAAGACACCTGAACATCAGAACATCTGAAGCAGCAGCCGAACTTGCACAAAAATTTGATGACTTGCTTGGGTGGTGGATACGAGAAAACGAATCGAATGAAAATGCTGGGTTCTGCAGAATATGTAAGAGCAGTCATAAAAATTTAAGAAATAGAGAAAGATCGATAGAACTAGCTGAGAGACAAGCAAAACGAAGGACCCGGATAGTGTGGTGGTGAAGTGCGCTGCTCCCCGGTAAGGACAACAGCGCGTGTTCGTTACCCACCGCATACACCTGCTGTCTGGAGTTTTGCAAATATCTCAGCATTACATACGAGTTATATTTCGCAACGTACCCAGCCATTAAAAAGAAAAAGGCAGTTAATAAAAGGGTTAAGAATAAGAAATAGAGTTGCATTCTCGTTCAATGTAGACATAACACGTTGGGAAGACTATGTAAATACATCAGTTAATTCACTAATAAAAACTCGAAGCCATCAAACAAGCAAAATTGTGTGGGTTTCTTTTTAATCACCATATAAAACTTTGGAAGGACTGCTGAAGGTCCGTAGTCAACAGTCTGGGTTGAACAATGATAGGAATAGCCACTAACTTAGAAGAAACCTAGTCCGAAAGAAGTAAGCCTTCGTCTGAGGATCTACTGGTCAATGTTTGTTAGGCGACGACATTGAGGAGAATATTGAAAAGGTTTGGAATTCTCAGAATTTCAAGAAAAATTTCCTCAGTAAATGGTGCCACCCCGGCCCACCTCGCCCATATTACTGAGGACGTGGCAGAGTGATTTTTGTACACAGCTAAATACGCCATCTACTTTCCGCGATTAGCACTTTCTCTCATAAAAAGAAATGTGTACGACCTCAGTCAATGAGATACCTGGTCCTATATTATTTTTTTTGCACGAACGACGATTGTGAAAAAGCGGGCAAAGTCAAGATTATAGAGGGAAAGTTCAGCTCTACTGCATCTCACTTGTATATCAATGGGATCGGTGGCCATCGATCGTAAAGTATCCAGCATGGTAAAGATATTAGTCGAAAGAATGACTTACATCAACTTCCTTGACCAGATGATGGAATGTTTCCTGATCTTCGACGGAAAGTTCTTCGAGTCCAAGGTGCTCAATGTGCCTGAAGCAACAGTAATTACGTTTAAAACCTTTCGCTATTCGCAACAGATATCAGTGAAAACAAAGTTAACGAAGAAATGAAAGGTCGAATTTACTACGGCACTTTATCTTACTGGAATACTGGGTTCCTTCCACAAATCCGTTGTGGCACTGATCATGGACATAGCCTATTCCCTAGTTAGAGAGTTCCAACCGGCAAAAAATATCAGAATTCTAAATGTTGTGTGTGTGAAGAGAATGACTGCGAAAGGTTAGGCCTCACAGGTACTTCACGTTTCACTTGCAGTCATCGGGAAGAATTGAGTAAGCGCCACAAGCTTCCACTTAGCAAATATTTTATTGATTTTGTGAGATCTCTTTGCAGAAGTTTGGAGGAATTTACGATAGGTTCAATAAATAAATTCAGATCCCTGGCTAGATTCCAACCGCTTTCCGGCTGCCCATGTGTTATCCGTTGCAACAATGACGCCCTTGCTTTGCCTTTCTCTCAGCCAGGACACTCGGGTCCGAGTTTTGCACACATCTCAGCATTATTGCGGTTGTATTTCACATGACACCGTGCCATAAAAAATAATGAGTAGTAAATAAAATGTTATACATTGTAATTTTGACTGTGGTCTCGGCTTAACTGGATTCAATGCTAATTTGTGCCTCTTAGATCATTCTCGTTGAAGGATGACTGCTGATATCACCGTTAAAGGTAAAAAAAACTGGTCGAAAGAAAGGCGAAGCAAGGACGTCAGGGATGAAGTGGGTTATATTGGAAAGGGCAATCACGGTTTCGAATCTGATCTGGGGTCTGACTTCTACAAATAGAGAAGAAAACATCAAAAAATTAATTGGTACGTCCGAATTATGAAGATTAGCCATCAAGGGATCCAAACAAAGAAACAACAATGTGTAATGACGTCACTATCCCAAATCCAAAATATGTAACAGATGAGTTGGCATAACTATTTCACACCTTGTGTCACCGACCTGACACTAGGTTGTTATGAAGTATTTATTCGGCTAACATTTTTTCTAAGTATTTCGTTCAATTTTACTCATCATGAACTAGTGTTAAAAATGAAGAATAAAACGATAAACGGCCCACTGTTGACCAATCCATTAGGAATGTGTCATGTATTCGACTCCACTCGTAGCTTTTCAGAGATGATTTAAAGCATATTTAGCTTATATAATTTATTTACCCCAGAAAGATGGAGGGACTCGTTAGCCACGGTCATCCAAACAGCACGTGTGCATTGTAACGCACCCGTAACCAAGCATTTATTGAGCTACAAGTGACCCCGTATGAAGCAAAAGCTACGGAAATAAGACGAAAAGAGTGAAGGAACAAAAACTTCGCAACTCAAAGCAGCAATCTCACTTGAACTCCATGGGTGCACTGATGTCGAGCTTCTTTCTATCTTTTTTCTTTTTCTTCATAGTGAATATGCCACCAAGGAATCCTATAAAACCACAAATCAATTCGCAATAGTTTAGACAGCTTCCTTTCTCAGGAAAATCCTTGAACCTCGTATCTTATACCTTTTTTATGCTTCTTCTCGCCGCTGTTAATAGTAAGAGCACCAGCTGAAAAAGAAAACAAGAACTCGAGTTCGACTTGTTCACTACACCACCTAATTCTACTAACTTTCCATAAAAAAAACTGCTTTGTGCTAAAACATAGCGTCCAAATAAAAACACTTTCATGGTCAAACCGAATATCTTATTGATTTGGCTAGAGTTAGTAGAAGAGTAAGAGATACGTGAGAAGAAAAATCGAAATGTAGCAATCTTAACCTTTTATTTTCTACCTACCATAATTTTTCACGGCAGGGCATGACGTGAATTAATACCACAACGATGCTGAGATATTGGTAAGGACGCTGGGCCAGATCGAACCTCGACTTCCCTTTTCAGAAGCTCGCTCAGTAAAATTATAATAGGTAGAAAATTAAAAGTTGACCTTGTGATTTCGACTACAGCCTCAGCTTAACTGGGTTCGATGCCCATTTTTGCTCCCAGATCAATCCCACTGATGGGTGATTGCTGATGGCAACGGTAGGTAGAAAACCAGTTGAGAGAAACGCAGATAAAGTCTCCGTGCCGCAGCGTGTAGTGAGCGAACAACTGGAAAGGGAAAGCGTGTTTCGATCTGGCCCGGTGTCCAAGTTTTGCGAATATATCAGCATCGTTGTGGCTGTAATTCGAAAAATAACAGTTAATAATCGAAGTCTGCTGCAAATCTATCCTTTCTGCTAGAAACATTTTGTTCAGTCATTTTTTATTTCGTTTCTCTGAATCTCCATATTTTTCCCGACTTTACAAATTTTGTTTGAAATTCAAATTTACTTACAAGGTTCAGTAAGCTGTTCAACCACCTCACATCCACCAGCCTAAAGAACAACCGCATTTCGTAGGAGAAGATATCATGAACAAAATCATATCTACAGTGATAAAACAAAGAAAATAAGAATAGATAAACCAAAAATGAGAAGATGAAAGGGTAGAGTCTTTTTCTAATCACCAAACAAAACTCCATCCAACTGTTAAACACTTTACAATCGATATAAACCTGGGTGGTACACCACTCAAGTGATGACATCATCCAAGTCACCACTGGCTTATACAAGAAGCTCAGCCGTTTTTTGACTGCCACTACACTATTCTCCCATACATTGTCTTCCCCACCCCTTTGTGCCTACTTATTTATCATTTATTATTCATTATTTATCCATTTATTCTTCATCACTTTGGGTGTAGCAGTCAAGAAAAACGAAGCAATATTGAAAAGAGAACTCAAGTTACAAATATTCAACCTGAAAAAGAGGCAGAAAATCGACGTGGGCCGGAGAAAAAAAAGCGAAAATTTCTGAGTAAAAGGAGTTAAAATAAAGTAAACGGGTAACTCAAGAGGGTGCGACCATAGGCTTAGAACTTAGGACCGTTAAAACTTTAAATAGTGCTACAGATCACACACCTGAGGAGGCGGTGGTGCATGGCGCTTCGGTATACTGGCGCGCCGAGTGATGCGATCTGAAATTATAAAGAAACAGACTTAAATTACATGCAAAAAAGTACCGGCGAACCCCGCATCCTAATAAACCCTCGGTCAACTAGTTGCGAGGCTATGTGGTACTTCCCTAAGTGGCAATAAAGAAAGAAAAAAGATAACGAATTCCACGTTGATCAATGTGTTACTGATAAGCTCCATACTCGACTATATTTGCAACGTCGCTTCAGGCTTATAGAAACACTTTTGAAAGTTTTTAAAACTGCCTAATCATTCACTTTTCATTTACACCTATTCCTTCTCAAGGTAGAGTATGATATAAATTGTATTTCACTATCAAGATAATTGAGTCATCGCCTTTATCCTCCTAGAAAAATCTGATTCAGGTTTGGAAGTCTCAGATGGATGGGAGCTTGTTTTGCCCTGGTTTGGGATCGGGCCAATATGTAAGTGTTCATTTCGGAGAATTTCTAACCTAATCCATGTTAGTCGGGTGGCAAACATGGTATTAAATTTAGAGCATCGACGACTTCGTACTTGCTACGAGATGGAGGCGAATTCTGAAGATGAACACCTTTCTCACCTTTTTCGTTTATAAACGCTACAATTTCAAATGTCTATGATTCATTTTTCTTGGCAAATTCGAGTGCAGCCGTATGGTTGGAAAGATAAAACTGACTTCGGTTCTCGATGACGAGTATCCGATGAAACTCGTCCGCTTCGCGTGGATCGTAGAAGTGAAGACCACAAACGTCTCTCGGAAACGAATCCATTACAAATATCAACAGATGCTCGTCACTTGTCTTCTCTGTTTCAAAAAATGCGGATCTAAAGCAAATTAGTCGATCTTCACAATTTTTGAGGCGAACTGGTATAGGCAGAAAACTATTGATCACCCACACGGTCATTGTCCAGAGGACCTTAGCTGCAGATGTGCCGCTTGGTTTCGGCAAGAGTAGAGATAGAACGTACTGAAGTTACTTTGAAATCGGCTATGGGTCAAAAAAAGTCTTTTAGTCTTTGAAACCAGAATGCTAATAATATTTATAATTAACCTAGTTTTTTCTACTTCCCATCTTTTTCTTAAACTTTTTCCCAAACAGATTGAGGACTAATTGGAGAAAGTTCTTAAACTATCTAACTTATTCACATGTAATCCGTGCAGACCAAAAATGGGAAGGAACAAAAACACGTACCAAGTAATACTTTAATAGTAATTTTTTCTACTTTTACCAAGTAACAGAGCATAAAATAAGAAACGTGCTTGGGGTTTTGAAAACAGATAAGCTGAACTTAAAAAAAGGGTAGAAAACCATACTACTTATAATAACGATAAAAAAAGAATAAAACTTTCGGCGTTGATCAATCTCTGAGGGATGCGCCATGCATTCGACTTCATTAAGCATCGTTTGGAGATGATTGAATGGATATCTGGCCTTAACAATGAACCGTGCTGGCCTATCGATGTGTGGAGCCAGTGCTGTTATCTTCCCCAGAGGGATGGAAGGCTTGGTGGACCATGGGCGCAGGGACTGAATCCACGTCTGTTGCAGGGCGCCGTCGATCATTGCGTCACACGCATCCTTTACTTGCAATAATACTTTAAAAAGGTTGTTTGTTAAGTATTTTCCTTGCTATTAATAATAATAAGATGACAGTTTTTTCTTTAGGTAAAAAAGACGATGACAAGATGGACAACGTGAAGCTAAAGAAACTCCTTTTAAAAAAATGAGGAGGAAATAAGATGAGAAAATAATAGGATAACATGTTTCCGTTTAGGAAAGGTATTATTTCGTCGGTGAAGCTCATATTATTGGCGATTTAACTTGGCTTCACTTCAAAATAAAAAGTAAAAAACAAAAAATAGCTAGATAGATTTCCTAGCCGTTAAAATGTCGAATATCTGAATATTCGGAAATAATACGCTCGGAAAACCATGGCTATCTGGTTGAGCCGAAAGCTTTGTAAAACGTGACTGTGCCCTATTCGTTCCTTTTTTCCTACATAACTGCAAAATGAAGAGTCGGTTACGGTAGCTGTGTAGGAGATGAGTTGCTAAGGCATCTGAAGCAGGAGGTATTTGCCCTCAGCGTAATACTCCAGGGTTTCCATGAATTACAGCCATTGATTGTACAAATGCAAAACACTTGCATTGAATAAGCGAACTGATTGTGAACATATTAAGGATAAAATAAAAACAATAGGAAATAGGACTGTAGAAAGTATGTCTAATTAGAAACAAAGGAACCTCTTTAATTTGAGGATTGCGAATAAAGCAAATCACGCCGACTTTCGTGTCTTTCCATACGTTGTCCTCAGCTTGTAACAGCTGACAAACTCCTGTGCATAGCGCCTAAATCCAAAAACAAAAATAAGGAATTAAAAATCAGGTAGCGAAAAAGTCAAGAAGAACATGTAAGGAGGGTTGTGCCAGCTCTCGTTCCAAAAAGATTTCGATTCGAAGAAAAATGGTGCAAGAGGAGCCTTAAAGAAGCGTTTATTCTCTTTAAAGTTTTACAGATGTTTGAAAAACGATTGTATGTAGCGCAATAGTAAGAGGGATCCTGTGATACAAAATTAGTCATCAGTTCGAACCTGCAAATCGAGTCTAAAACATGGTGCACCTTGATCAAAGCCTAGTGCTTTACCTTCTACGCTTTTTAAAAGTGGTTCATTGACATCTCATAGGCATAAAAACTAGTATAGTAAGTAAATCAACCGATGAAATCATTACCATAATTTTCTACTCAATGGTTACTGTATTAGAACACGTAAAAAAATATCGTAGGTATTTTTGTATTCAAGCAAAATTACTGTACAATGCAAATGATGGCGAACGCGCCCAGCCGCGCGAGTGATCTATGCGGTTAGAGACGTAGAGGAAGGCCACAGTGTCTGGTCTCTAACCATCTCTTCGGCATACTCAGTTAGAAAGCGATAAGCTTTACCACAGAAGGTTGATTCATAAGGTAGTACCACTTCATCTATCTCTAATTATACCTAAAATCGATGAGCTTCGATTCACTAATGAATAAAGGATAAAGCGTAAAGTTCTCAGCGCTGATCAATCCCTGAAGAATGCGCCAGATAATCGACTTCATTAAGCATCGCTGGAGGTGATTGAATGCATATCTGGCCTTTCCAATGAATCGCGGTGGCCTACGGATGTATCGATCCAGTGCTGCTATCCTTCCAAACAAATCTGGTACCAGTTTCCCGACTCCGGAGAAATGGAAGGCTTGGTGGGCTAAGAGCACGGGCATCGATCCCATGTGTATTGCAGGGCGCCTCTGGCCACTGCACTACACGCGTCCTTACTAATGAATATTTTTCTTAATATTGCAATGGAAATATACCTAAAAAAAGATTTGGTACTCCAGTTCAAAAGGCTAACTTAGTGCAAAAACCTATGTTGACATGATAGAAGATAGCTTTAAGACTGTAGAGTATTTACAAAATAGAAATGTGGTAAACGAAATGCAATGATCGTCAATGAAGCGAATCTGTTTCGCTCTCTATTGCAAGAAATATGAGCGAAATTATTTTTTTGGGAATCTACATGCAAGAATAATTTGCCTTAAAGAAAACAAAGCCTCCCAACGGTCCACCACCTCATCGTGGCTGGGAGGTGCTTCTGGGTGTCGCACTACGATGTACAGTGGAGGATTCATCCCCTGGCAGGGTCTCCCAAGCTGAGAAGGAGCCCGGCGTTTCCATCAAGAAGCCTAGCTAAGAGTAAACCAATACCAGGATCCGCCACCGTCCTGGCATCAAAGTCGCATGGGGGCAAATCTCTCTCTGATCCACAAGGGGTGCGACTGCCTGTGGTGGTGAAGACCTGGGCCAGACTTCGGCCAGGCCGACCTCCAGGATTTTAAGGAACCACAGTGGCTTAACTGGCAAATCTCCCAAAAATGGAGATTGTGCTAGGGCCCGCACAACCAGTGAGGACGCACCATTCAAGTACCAAGTATAAAGTAAAGAAAACAACACAATCGAAAAATTCTAGGCAGTTACAAAAAACTGCTAAATGAAAAAACAGGAGTCGGCTTACTTTAGCAGACGGTTCCAAATAGGTGAGAATGCTCTGTCGCTCGGATTCCGTCAGATAAGGCGAGATACGATTCTCGCGAGCTCTAAATCACTTTTTTTCTTGAATGGGAAAGTGGAACTGGTAGCAAGTCCACTACCTTCCTACGTGAAAAAATCTAAGAAAATACTCACATCCTCGTAGTTGGAGCGTCTGGTATGTGATTCGTTCCATTTCTTATGTCTATTGTCATCGGACGCCTGTAGGTTACTTCGACCGAGTTGTAAAATAGAGATTCTGGAAGAGAAAAAACCTGAATAAGAGAGATGGATTTGATTCGTCTTCGACAAAAAGTGGTACCCATGAGGGCTACCAAATTGGTTCAACTTCGCATAGAAGTGCAAAAAATCAACAAGATCTGTACTAAGAAACGTATAGACAAAAAGTTCCATTTCAATAAGTAAAGAATTAGATACGTATTATGTTTTAGAAAAAACTGTTCGTTTGCAACACGTTTTGCATCTCGATCGTAAAACACGCCGTCAGAACATTCAGATTTTTGCGAATGGCCAAGTGGTTTCCATTCACGCTTCAGTAGTAAAAAGAATCGATAACAGATCGCTGCAAATCGTTACGAATCACGAAATCAATACCTATGTTTTACACATCGCAACTACTACACCATTACAACACGCAACACTACGGTGCTTTATCAGTGCCTACAGGAAAGTCATCGGCTGATGCTCCTACTCATTTTGAAATCACACCCATAAAATCCACCCGGTTTTCTTATGCAGTCAGTAGAACCTATTTCGCAAAAAAACCCCGAGAAATATCGAGACTTTCAAATTATTCTATAGATACTTTGTCACTGTCATCACTTTGTCGCACTATAAACACGGAAAAAGCAAACAGCTCTTAGAAACAATATTATATATTGTTGAGCAGTAGAAGGATAAATTTCAGACTAATGTTTCATTGGAAGATAGCGAAGAACATGAAGACGGAATTGCTCAGGAAGTGAATGCAGACCTTCAATTCTTTCCCGTTTACGTCCTCTATGTTCTTTTATCTTCTGAAAACCCTAAACTCTAATTTTATAAACGTTTTATAGTTTTGTGGGTTTATATTCCGCTCAAAAGAAAACTACTCACGTAAACGAGCATCTTTAAAATTTCCGCATTCTTTTAAGAACTCTATCAATCGTAGGTATTTGATAAGGCTATGTCTGCAAAGAAGTCTCACAAGGAAATAAAACAATAGGCTACAATTTTAGGTGGCTTCGGTGGAAGTATTTTGGAGAGTTGACGCAAATAAGGACTTTAAGTAGTGAGAGAAAGTGTAAGTGCTTTGTACGAAGTTTTATAACGTTGAGACAGTCAGTTAGTCAGTGAACAATGTCGGCGACAGTCGTGTGTATATAACAGCTCAGTGTCGTGTCCATGTGCGGATTGTACTTGTGTTGGCACCACATGAAGCTGAAACACCACTGCCGACATCGACGAAGAGCTGACGAAGCAAAACCGATGGCTCGAGACGATAAGAATGAATGCACACTTCCACCTCCAACAATGTTTGTTTTTTCCTACGTATGACCATTCTTAGGAAAATTCGGAGCTGAGTTACATCGCAAATGAGCACGGTGTACAACCTTTTTAAGCAAACCTTTAAGCAAAAGTTATGATCATGATTTTTCCTTCATCACTAAAGTGTTAAAACTCACAAAAAATCTTAAACTCCTAAGTTGTTCTTAAGAAAACACAAAAGAAATATGTGTCGTTTTCTCGTTCAGCAATCGCGAGGTTTTTAAACAGCATACATTTACTTCCATAGAAAAACACAATGCAATACAACGCTAGCTGACGTTTCGGCAGTATCGCCTTCTTCAGAGCCGCTTTTTCGTAACTTTCAATGAGAAAGTCTAAGTTTAATGAGGAAGGAAGGAAGAGTCGTCAACCACATGCGACTATAATCAGCTGTTCTAAACTTCCTCAATGGAAGTCACGAAAAAGCGGTGGGTTTTTCGAGAAGTTGCTGATTGTGTAATTGCCGGAGAGTTCTTCGTCTTTTTGTAAGTGTTATTGAAGCGTTTGGCCTAGTAGGTTGTATATCAGTGTACCCTTCCAGGCTCTGAAGAAGGCGATACTGCCGAAACGTCAGCTAGCGTTGTATTGTATTGTGTTTTTATGGAAGTAAATGCATGCTGTTTAAAAACCTCGCGATTGCTGAACGAGAAAACGACACATTCATATTCCAATGCCGAGGTTAAGAGAAAGTCGATCCTGGGAACTATTACAAAAGAAATATATATCGCAAAGAAAATTCGTACACTTTCAAGTAGGTATTAAAATAGCAACCAAGGCAAAACGATCCTCACGACAGCAACTCTGTAGCCAGCGATGAATAAGATTTGAATCGACATGTTATGCAAGTTGTTTTTCTTGAAGCTCTGTCATGTGACATTTTTTATGGCGATATGCTGACTAATGAACGATAAAGACTTGTGCATTGGTCTTTTTCTACGCCACCCGTCTTTCACACCTACCGTGCGGATCTCAGCACTTCTCGCATTCGATTCGTTTCCTCATATTCATCAACCACTATGGTCTTCAACTTACGTCCAAGGGTACGGCTGCTGCTTGAGGATTTTCCTTTCCTCACGAAAGTCGTTGAATGCTGGTCGAGTCTATTTTCCCTAGCCTCTTGAGATTGCCTGGTTGCAGGGTTTCCACTTGGGTTGCAGTGTTCATAGGTCTACGAATATTTTAAAAGACTGAATCACGCCTGAATAACTGTGGCGACAAGAGGATGACCTCTTTCAAATAGCGATCGAAATTCTCTTCAACGACATTCTACGTCTCCAGTTTTCTTCTGTTTTCTTGATGTGTTCATGTTTCGATCAACAACCGTTCGATTTTCAGTTGTTGAGCTATCCAAACCCCATGAATTCAATTCGTCGATTTTTTAAACTTTTTCATAACACAACATCGTACACCTCGAGAATCCCACCCTACTTTCATTCGATTCGTTCCCTTTATTCCGTTGTTCACGAAAGCCTTCGAATTTTCGTGTGACTTCGGCTTCTGTTTGAAGATTTTTGTTCTTTTTTCGTGAATATCTTTGAATGATAGCTCAGTGGATTGCATACAAGATTCTGGGATAGCCTCACTAAGATATCCCATGGCCTTTGCCACAAGGAGTCACCGGCCCCTCCCAGATACTAGGGATCGTTCATGCCTAGTCCGATACAAATTTCCCTATGCTAGAGAAATGCGAGGCTTGATTGACTCGTTACAGGGCCGAACCATGCGCGTATTACTGAACGGCGTCATTACCAGTGCACTACTCGTGCTTCACATCATTCATGACAGTAGTCAAGTGATATCCCTATTGCTAGATCATTTATGTGAAAAGTAGACCTCTCTAACCCAAAAAATGTGAAGTCAAAAGACTGGCCGACGCCTGATGTTATCCACTGCCAATTGGTTGTCTCGAAATTAGATACAGCAGAAAAGCCACTTTTCGTAAATGTTCTACTAGTGCATTGAATCACCTGTCAACTGCTGCCCTGTTGATTGCCGAGTGACTCGTGCGGGGGTCAGCAAACTATCCATTTCTTCTTGTCGAGTGCGAGGGTAGCTCAGTGGGTTCTCAATTATCTAGGGACTCGTTGAGTTTCCAATATAGTCAGTGGTTTTCTACAGTGTGACACCTTAAGGAATTCATTCACTAACATTTCTTATCTACCAGTTGTGGTTCACACGCATTACGTGTCCTACCCTGCTTCGACATTTTAGCGTATAGAACGACGTCTTCGATTTTTGAAGCTGACGTAGTCGCAGCTTCGGATGAAAGACAACCAGGATCCGAAGCATGCCTGTGGTTCCGAGTTTAGTTCATAGCTCAACATTCTTGTGGTTGTATTTCATATAATACCCTTCCGTGAAAAAAGAATGTAGAAAAGTGAAATATTGTAATCGAGAAGAGTTTTCGTAACAGTTTAATATTGCTGACACAGAGATAGTCCATCATTGCTTGCTGTCTTAGTGACTAGGGGTGATCCTCGGGTTTATTCTACTAGCAGGATCACCTGGACCGAGAACAAACTCGATATTTTCATCCAGAAGTCGAGTAGGAGTAAAACTATGCCACGTCGGTAGCGGCTATGGAAACTCTGTTGCCAAAAACTAAAAAAAATCTCATGGCATTATAGCAATGATCGTGACTGTCTACATAAACCATTTCAGGAATTCTTCCTACACTTTGAAACCATTCTTCTGGAGTAAATCTCGGAGCAAATTGGTACTGCTAATGTGAAATGGTGCCACCTTAAGAAGAAAAGCCAACGTTGTAGCTTATATTTTGGATAGCCGACAAGCCAACATGAAGGTGTTAAAATAATTTTGGTGCGGCTAACACTTCGATAGTATTGCTATCTTCATGCCTGCATTAGCTCAAGGCTATACTGCTTCCAATAGGCGAAGTTCTCAGAGAACAGTTTGTCTTCTATTACGTTGAAACGAATTCAGTTATGTGGCGCAAAGAAAGACCACCACAACAAAGCGGTGTTTATACCTAATGGATGGTTAATGGCAGACTATACAAGACTATCCACGATGAAGATGAATGATTTTTTATTACAAATGAATAAAGTCACGTCTACTTTTTCAGTAGTCGTCATATATGCTAAGCAGGACCACTATTTCGACATAAATGTTCAGTAACGATGATATTGAAGTTCGTACCGTTCCACATCTATTATTACAGCTAATAGCTATCACTATACAGTAAAATACGAGCTTACATTATATTAGCTTAAGTACAAAAAGGAAAAAGCCTGGCGCGTTATGCCGTTGGTCAATCCCTTAGGGGCGCACCATGCATTCGACTCCATTCCTAACATCTAAGAGTAGTTGAATAGATATTTCAGCAGCACAAAGCCTCGTAAAAGTTTGCTAGAATTAATTCCGTGTTTTCTGAAATCTCAGATAAGGCTATTATCAATTTTCCGACTTCCAATAGTGCAGGTCTTAGCTAGCATGGTGCACCAAGTCGATCCAACGACTCTGTGTGCAATCCAAGGAATCTCTAACTACTGCAGTGTATGTCTCCTTCTGAGGCGTATTATCACCTTTGATCCTATAAAAAATCGAGAATGTGAAAAGTCCTCATTCGTTCCTGCATATTTATTTCAGCTGTATTGGAGACCTGTGTGCTTCGTTGGCAGAAAGGAGATAGCAGGCTTCACACTGT